TCTTCCAATGGGGACTGTTGGGGACTGACAGGAACTAATGGGGAGTGACAAGTACTCTGCCATCTCAGTAACATGTGGCAATTTTGTTGCCTACTCAAGTGTATGGCACCGCCTACTCTGATGATTTTTTTAAATTAATTATTTCGTTTGGAGTCCATCAACGTGCCGGCATGTGATAGTCACATAACCGATTTCAGTCGCTCTAGCGAGAAAGATACAGCCTTTCAGCAACTCCATTTAATTTGTCACAAGTACAGACTTTAAACTACACAACGGTCTTTAAATTGTGTTGAAAGGCCAGATAAAACCAGTTAGAATAAAGAGTCCACGCCACATCTTTTTTGAAAATCGTTGTCATATCTGAAGCACGTTAGAGTGAGAGGCTGCAGCAAATACGGGCAGTCTCAGGGACAAAACACCCCCATCACCCTCAGCTTTCACCTTCTACTCCCGCTGAACAGATAAACAATCTCCCCCCTCATTTCTGACGGAAACCCCAAGTTATTTGTCAAGCGCCAAAAATTCTAAAGGAAGAAGAAAAATATGCGGAAGTTGAATGGAGTTTGGCATGATAAAGTCACAGCGAGAGCGGGAGGGAGTCATGAGGTCTGAGAGATTTGTGATATTTAGTGTGCTTGGGTTTTATAATTAGAGTGTAGTTTAGTCAGTTTTAGTGTGTTTGAGTCAAAACAGTGAGACGATTTTTGAAAGTGAGGAGGACTGAGCTGCAGACCCAGAGGGACAGAACCACAGACCCATAACCTCTCAGACAGAAGAGAGGATCATGAAGGAGAAAAACAGTCTGAGTCAGAGGGTGATCATAATTTATTTTAGAAGAGGAAAGAGAGGAAGAGCGGACCGAGCTCCACTAGGAGGTCTGACTCTTCGCAGAGGAGGGGGTCCAGAACCCCTCCTACTGGGCCAACAGAACCAGGCATCATTTCTGATTTCTGGATAACAGAGGACAATGGGAATGTTGACCAGAATGTGTACTAAAAAAGGAAAATACAATTTTTCATTACCGTAAAATAAATATTTTGTCAATTAAAAAAAACAAAAAAAAAAACTCGTTTTTAAACAAAAAACCCTTAAAGCGTTAAAATAAAATTAAAATTATTTAAAATAGATATTTTTATTTCAGGCTGAGACAGTTCTGATATACTGACTACGTTAGTTTTTTGTGGGAAAAATATTTAAAACGAGTATTTTTAAGCAGTTAAATGAAGTGGTTGATTTCCCCCCTGAGGAACAGGAATAGTCATAAAGTTAAAGGGTTAAAACTGTTTTCAAATGTTCACAATATGATGCTTTTCATAGGCGTAGCCAGGATTTTATGAGGGGCGGTTCGTTTGAAGAAAAAGTGGACCTGTAGGACTACTCTGATTGGTTCATTGGCGGTGGTACACATAACTTCAAATGTGTAAACAAGCTAATTAGCTAGCTAGTTAAAACACTGCTGTGTGAGGTAAATCTGTGTTACCAAATAGGCGGTTGTGAGTGGAGAAAGAGCAACACACTGAGAGGGGAATAGCGTGTGTGTCCAGTCTTCTATTCAGAACTCATCCCAGACACGAACGAACACTTCGGTACTCCCGAGTCCCGCCCGAACATACACAAAAAAAAAAAAAAAACACCGAAGAAGAATGAAAGACGTCATCCTCTTAAAGGCACAGTACCACTCCTTAACTCTAACAACATAAATGCAAACTAAGCCCGCAAATAATAACATTACTTCAATTGCAAAAATAACTCATCTTTTTACTTTGCTTTGTTAGACATTGTTTTTTATGAATGAAATTACTTCACCTCGCAGTTCTATATCTCGCGGGAGTTGTAGGTGGGACTTCATTGGCAAAGTGGGCGGTTCGTTCGAACCCCCCGAACCCCCCCTGGCTACGCGCATGCTTTTAATGATCAGACTTCATGATCTTTTCTGTAGTTACCGAAACCAAAGTGAAGTTTTGAGCTGCAGCTGGGACTGCTGCAAGGTAAACAATAAATCATTGTGAAATAATTCTTTATTAGATTCTTGAAAATGTGTTATCTCGATCTACAAAATTGATTGACAGCTGCTGCTGATAATGACTTCATAACTCTTTTCATGCATGTGACGCTGGTAAGACATTTTCATCAGTGATCAGTGTTTAAACAGTCTGCGTGCACCAACATTTTCGCTGTACAGAACATCCATGTATTGATGTTGGAAATGACTCCAGTCTCCAACTCATAAAGTCAGTGAGAAGGCTGCGGACTAATGGGAGCTGATGGGGACTTTTGAGGACTGAACTGTTTGGGACTACTGGGCTCCTCCCAGCCGGGACTAGATGGCGGAGCACCTTCAGAAATCACAAAATGCCTGTCAGTACGTCCAAACTGTGGACATCTCCAGAATTTAAAGTTTAATCTGTTGAAAGTTCAGGAAATAAAGTTCTAATCTGAGTAATGAACCCGTCAGTGCAGTTGTGGAAAAAACTCTGGGTCAGACACAGAACCTGGTTCTGAAGACCCCCATTGGATTCAATGTAAATTAAGTCTCTTAAACTCATATTTTAGCCACAGTGAACAAAGGAAACAATAAATTATTAAAGTTATAAGTGGAACTATTTTTAGGGGAAAAAAATCTGATAATATGATTTGACATTGGATCGAACCGCACCAGAATCCTGTGTGCCACAAACATACATCAGATCTGTGTCCAAGCTATCTGACGCACAACTTTTAACACTTTTCACCTGATTTTATATTCACATTTGTGAAGTCGACAATTTGTTGAACTGACTTTTTTTTTTTTAAATTTTTAATATACAATGGTTCTACTTCTAGCTGTTACTGGAAAAAACAAAACAAAGATTATTACTGTTGGTCTAAAACTCAAAATTACCATTTTTATTTTTCTATCCAAATGAACAAAAAAATAAAAAATACAATAATTTATTCATCCATTATCTTTTACCTGCTTCTTCCTGTACTTAAATTTTATGTTTGTGTTTTTCATCCACAATTTTTTGTAAAGTAAATGATTTTATGGATAATCTTTAAAAATAAACTACGTTAATTTTTATAATGATCTATAAAAAGAAGTCATGAAAATAAATTGTTTTATGTTCCTCCATTGTGTTTAATAAAAGTTTTCCTTCATCACCTGACCCACATCCTCTCTGACCCGGTTCTGATCCACATCCTCTCTGACCCGG